TCGCTATAACTCCAGTGAAGGAACTCGACGCAGCAGCGATATCAACAGTGTGCACGGGGCAGCCATGTCATGTCTCTAGAAGTGAGCTCTTTCCAAGCCTTCTCTTCATGTTCCTAGAAGGACAGTGTGATCACAACCACCCTCTCACCACAAACAGCCAGTCGGATGATACCGGCCATATTTTGAGTCCTGATGTGCTCGTACAGCCTGTACGTACATCGACAGCACAGGGGACGACTCCACCAGAACCCAGGGCTCCACCGCGGGAGTAATTATATCCACAGCCTTGCCCACCCCCAGGTGCCGGTTCAGGCTGTCATCTCTCATCACATGCTTACCGATTTCCTTGCCTTGCCTTGCCTTTTTGGTTGACGTTGCAACTTTTTTGGATCCGGATTCTCTCTCTGATCAAACATCACATTGTTGCCGACGCTGCTGATTTTGACCCTGTGCCTTTTCGCCCAAATCGTATTAAAGAAATCCTCGAGAGCACGATCTGCAGGTGAATGCTTACTTGGCTCCGTTGTTTGAGCCTTTGAGTGAAACCTGTCCAGATTCAAGATACAAACGTACGTTATTCGCCTGAACTTGGTGATGGACGGCCTGCAATGGCCCAGTTAACGCACCAATTCCCCACGGATAGCAGAACATATATCGGCATCTTCCTCCTCAGCAAGCCTTGGCCTTCAACAGACGCCCACCATGGTGATGATAACACGAGCCATCTCCCTGACCAACTTCGCGGTCGCCAGCACAGCACTCGGCTTCCAGGTCTTTGTGCTGTACCCGTGGCACAAGGAGCTCGACGCTGGCTTTGAAGAGCTGAAAAAGGAGCATCTACGGGTGTTGGGAGCCGTCAGCGGAGGCCCTGGGATTAGTCGGGAACAGGGCGAGGTGATGCAGGAGAGGCTGAGTGAGGTCAAGCAGAAGCGGTGGTGGTGGTCGTGGGTGAGATGAGTGGTTCTGTGTTTTTTGAGGCGGGAGGGGGAGGGGCTCTGGGAGATGGGATTTTCAGAGGTTTAGACATGGCTTTTTTTTCTCTTTTTTCTTTCTTTTTTTTCTTCTGTTTTTTATTTTCTTTTGTGTCTTAGTTGTGTGATTTGCTTTTGTTGTTGGAATGGTTTTGTCGTCTCTTGTGGTGGTTTTTGAGTTGGCGTTGATAGATTGGCAGTGCTGAAAGGACCTGAGGCTTATATCATCCGGCATCTGGCAGCCACAGCAATCATGCTCGATCTCAGACGTTGGTGCGTAAATTCGGCAGGAAGATCATAAGTCTGCCGTCTCAACTTTTCCATGGTTTTCCCATGGACAAATAGTCTAGTGACCATGTAGGGAGACGGTTGAGGCGTTCGCATGCTGTCGTGTTACCATCCCGTGTGTCACCGGCCACGTGCGCAGGGGGCGTACTTTAGTGTTGGCGCAGCGGACCCTGATCTACAATACGGTCTTCAGCAAGACCTTTACAGTGTAAATTCGAAGTGCTATAGTACTTGTTGTAACAATGCCGATCACATGTAATTCGTCGCAGTCGTCGTTGGGTGAGTGCAGGTGCTAAAATATAATACTACTCTGTGAGACCTGCGTGTCTCTGAGGCCCTGGTAAAACAAGTGGTCCAGCAAGAAATCAACGGATTTCTCTGCTCTTGTTCATCGACGGCTGTTTGAGCTGAGTAGATGTAGAGGCAAGGCTCCTCTTGGGACACCGAAGCGGCATATGGAACCTTTAGCATGAACGTCACTTCGCGGAATCACTTGGCGGAAAGGGTTAGGGCTTGGCGATACCGACGACAAGTAACCAGAGTAAACCGTTTATTATCGCAAGACTGCCACCCAAAAGCCAGATGCATCATCGACCACCAAGACAATGGCCCACGTATGCATTGATATGCATTGATGTGATGTGCATTGATATGCGCTGATGCGTTGTCGCGGCTCCTGGTTGATGGCCCGTTGCAGCAACAAAGGGGGCGGCGCCGGAAAAACCCGCGGGGCCGAATGCGGCCGCGCCAGGGGAGTTTCCCGGTGCAGATTAGCCACGGCGCGTTTCTTTAGGCAATTTGTGGAGTGGGGGTGCCTTCGCCGCGTTTGTTTTCTCCTGGCGACCGGGTTGCGTTCAGCACAGCGGCCACCATGACGTACCGGCCAGCTTGCTCGATCTTCTCAGCACCGACACACTGCCCTCTGTGGATGCCGCTGCGACTGACCGCACATTCTGCATGCGAACTCGCCTTTGTTGGGGTGCTGGAGCAGCCAGACAAGCGACGATAGACGAGACCCAGCGCCAAGGCCGCAGCCAGACGCGGGCCCCCGTTGTCCTTGTACCCGTCCACGTCGGCGACGACCACCTCGTCCATCACGAACCCGAGCCCACGACCCAATTATCGCACCAGACCGAGTCCAGCAGACCAACGATACAAGCAGCGTCGAGGTGGTGCCGCAGCCACTGCCGCGCCCCCAGAGCCAGCCCACCATGAGTCTTCTGAACCCCCGTCAGGCCGAAGAGCTGTATGTCCCATCCTCTCGGCATCGCCCTCTGCGCCGACCCTCCTCTGCCCCCATCTCCATGCCTCCTACCACCTCACCTCACCTCACTCCTCTCTGCGCCAGGCCCAGGTACGCTGACTGACCCCCCGCGGCGCCTAGGCACAAGTCCATGATTGCTTACCTGGTTGCAAATAACCTAACAGCCACGGCAGCTACTCTGAGGACCGAGCTCGACCTGGGTGAGGACAAGTTCGACCTGACGGCCGCCAAAAAGTACGAGACGCTGCTTGAGAAGAAATGGACGAGCATTGTGCGGTTACAAAAGAAGGCAAGCCGCGCCGTTTTTCTCGATTCTTGGGACTGGCTACTCTGTCCTCGAGCTCGGAAGTCTTCGACTAACGCGCGCGCGCTCTCTCTTAAACACACAGATAATGGATCTCGAGTCCAGAAACACGGCGCTGCAATCCGAACTCGACACAACGACACCTGCCACATTATCCATGCGCAACAAAGACCCCACCTCGTGGCTACCGAAACCCCCGCCCCGATACACGCTCGAATCGCACCGCGATACAATCAATTGCATTGCCTTCCACCCGATATTCTCCCTCCTTGCGACTGGCTCCGACGACTACACCATCAAGATATGGGACTGGGATGTGGGTGAGCTGGAAAGCACCGTCAAAGGCCACACCAGGGCTGTCCTCGACATTGACTATGGCGGCCCCAAGGGCAACACCCTCATGGCCTCGTGCAGCTCCGACCTCACAATCAAGCTGTGGGATCCAGCAGACGACTACAAGAACATCCGGACATTAGCAGGCCACGACCACAGCGTTAGCGCAGTCCGGTTCATACCCGCCTCGGCAAACCTGCTGGTCAGCGCAAGCAGAGACAAGACACTAAAAATATGGGACGTAAGGACAGGCTTCTGCGTACGCACGCTCAGCGGCCACAGCGGCTGGGTGCGGGACGTCTTCCCCTCGCTAGACGGACGCTATTTGTTCTCTGCTGGCGATGACATGACGGCGCGTTTATGGGATATATCCGTGACGACGAATACCGAGAGCAAATTGACCATGGTTGGCCACGAGCACCACATTGAATGCTGCGCCCTTGCGCCTCCCTCGACATACCAATATCTTTCCAAACTGGCAGGCCTACGAAAACCCCCACCAGCGACCAGCACGGCTGAGTTCATGGCGACTGGCTCTCGCGACAAGACGATCCGTCTCTGGGACGCACGAGGAACATGCATCAAGACCCTGGTCGGACACGACAACTGGGTGCGCGCTCTTGTCTTCCACCCAGGCGGCAAGTTCCTCCTTTCGGCAGCAGACGACAAGACGGTCAGGTGCTGGGACTTGAATGAGGAAGGGCGCTGTGTCAAGACGATTGGAGACCCACACGAGCGGTTCATCACCTCGATGCGATGGGCGCCAAGTATTGTGCGAAGCTCCGAAAGTTCAGAGTCAGCTGCGACTGACAACAACACCGACGGCACGCAAGACGGCGAAGCGAGGAATAAGATTGCCAAGGGCAAGCCGCAAGATCTGCAAATCCGCTGTGTTGTGGCCACTGGAGGTGTGGACTGCAAGCTGAGGATCTTCACGACATGATGAGATCCAAAGTCATCAAAGAATTTACATAGATCAGTGTTGGCGAAGAAATACGTGCCGGTCTCCTTAGCAGGCAGCGAAACCCTGCCAGACAGAGTTTGACGGCCTGGAAGCGCCTGTTCGGCCACGGGACTGGAAGGAGGGGTTTGTGTCCTGCATAGCGCTCATCCAAGCAAACAGAAGGTTGAAGTGAAAGTATAGGGCGACGCAAAATCACATCGAGGGATTCATTTGCTGCTACAGGCTAGCATCAACACCGGACAGGGTGCATACAGCCGCGAGTAAGAGGTCGATCCCATTTACTGTTCAGAGCCAAAAAAGAAAGAGCTATACGAAGCGCGATTCCTTCAGCCTTTTAGAGGAAGAATGGCAAGGAGAGTCTTCCGATATTGATTGATACGAAACTACATTCTAATAGAATCCTGAGAAATTGGACCAGGGGCACGAATGCTGATGTCTGTCTGTCTGTACATGCCCGAGATTCCATCAAATCTGTCTACGTCGTCCGAGTCCCCAGCATTGGTGGACCTTCATTGTGGAGAAGTGGACTTCGTCCCTGGTGCGTTTGTCAACCAGGAGAATACTAACGGGAACAAGAGTAAGGTGTTTGTTCGTCGTTGCGTACATCAAAGCTGTTGAAAGTGCCTGGTTCTCGGAACTCACCTCGCGGCCTCTTCACAGTGTTCTTCCCTGCTTTTACTCTTACCTCAAGCAGCCCTCGCTCAGACAGCACTATTAACGAGAGCCCACCGCGCACAGCGATCATCTTGCTCCATCCACCACTCGAGACCCACTATCATCAAGGTGCAAAAAAGCGCCAGAACAACTCAGCATCGAGTAGTAAAGAAAATCCTTGATAATCCTCGGTTGTACAGTATACTTTCATCTACACCTCCAGCATTCGTGGTGTAATGGTAACATTCCAGCCTTCCATTGGTAACAATTGATAGCTTGAGCCTCGGGTTCGATTCCCGGCGAATGCATACGTTTTTTAATGTTTTTGAGGCTGACTTCTCGTTCTGATTTATTGAGCTAATCTGGCGAACAGTTTGCTGCTGTTGGAAGGGAAAAACGAGCAAAATCGAAGATGTCCTCGCTTCAAATTCCCCTCAACCCCCCCCCCCCTTCCTACTTTCCTTTTTGCCTAAGCCCTTGGTGAATATGAGTCTTCTGCCCACCAGAACAAGAACCAATGAATACCTTCCGCCTCTCAACACACCGATATGACGGCCGAACGTCGTTTCCCGTCGCACATTTTTTGCGCTTGTGTAACCTCACGGGCAGTCATTGTAGAAGAGTCGAAAAAAGACAAACAAGAAGGCACCTACGTATCAAACCAACGCCAGTGTAACGGGTTTCCTCTCGCGCTACAAACAGACGCTTGAGCATCGTTCCTGGCGGGATGTCCATGCGCGCTGAATTTATTTGAATGCATACTCACATGATCTCAACAGAAACAAAGATTGAACATTCTGTGCTCACCAAGACCGGGCAAGTCTCTGTGGGATCTGGACAACTCTTGAGCGGCTGTTTGCTACTTGCTACTGGGTTGGGCTTGAAAGTCTGAGCATTACGATTATCCTCGTTCTTTGGACTTGGCATTCACTGCTGATATTGATTTTACAATCTTCCTGAGTAGTCTCAACAGGCTTGGTGATCTGCGCTTGTCTACCGGTCCTGCGACTCTGCACTTCATCGAGCAGTGAGAAAACCCGAACAGTCACCAAAGCTCGACATTCAGAATAGTCACACACTCGGCGAGAAAGAAATACATAAAAGAGTCAGCATGCGGTCTCGCTGTACGCCGCGCTGGAGCAACGCAACCAACCCTACAGTCTTCTATGAAGTGGAACCAACAAGCACTCGGATTGCAAATCGCGATAGACTTGAGACCCAACAATTCGCCCTTGATAATCATCGCGCGAAACCAAGCCTCTTGGGGACTTGGTAACAGGCTGCCACCGCTGCTATGATGAGTCGCCCAACGTCTAATCCAGCAGATGCCGGTAGTGTGGCTCCTCAGCAACAGATCGAAACGTGGGAAGACGTGCCGGCGATGGCTTTGAAAAATGGTGACTATGTGATCAGCAGGGAGAGAGATTGTACGTTCGACTTTTACATTTACAGTCTCTGTTGTGTCATACCAATCCTCTTATCCAAAGCTTGTACGATTTTTGTCGCTGACCCCGTCGTGGAATTCGTAGTGGTTTGGGGCTACATCAGAGGCTTCAACACCCAAAACCAGCCCAACCGCGAGGCAGAAAATGCTTACCTTGTGGTACCGCTAGCTGAACTGTGTTATAGAAGCAACACGTACGTATACTAGAGGATGGTCCAGCACTATCGGAGTTGACCTTACAGGGGGAAGAAAGGAATTCGCTTTTCCATTTCCCACTTCCATGTGTGGCTTGCTAACTTCCTAGCCTTTTGCTAGAATCCCATCCAAAGACAGCCGTAGCGAGCCGACCACGGAGTGGACTGCATTCTGGCGCAAGCTACACCTACCAAGCGACCGAGTTGAGCGAGAAAGCAGATTGTTTCGTGGGTCAGAGCTCATACGCTGTGCCGACACGACTCGACCGCCAGCGGAGGAGGTTTCGCAGCTCATTTCCGAGCATGAGAATGCTGACATTGACTTGTTACCGCTGACGGACATCAGTGCGGGACATGATCTTGTGAGGCAGATGCTTGATGAGCAGAGCCGGCTGGAGGAGCAAGAGGGCCGAGAAGATCAGCGGCAACAGAAATAGGAAAATCAAATCAAATCAGTTGAATATTGGCCAGAAATTTCTGACACGAGACGCATCTCAGCGGCTCCATTTTGAGTGAGCGACCAAGCAAAGGCCTGTCAAAGTCATGGCCTGACTCTCCATCAGACGCTGTCGAACTATTTTGTTTTCTGTAAAATTTGAACGAGTATATATCTGCAGTAAGTCTCTGGCCCCTTACCATACTGGACCTCTCGGGTGAACGCGAGCAAGCTGAAGAAGCATACCCGACTGAATCCTACCAAAAGTGATTATAGCGTTACATTCTTGTTCGACGCATAGCTTTGCCACTAGAGAAACAATACGCCTGGACCCCAAGCAGATGCAACCGTCGTTTTGCCTCCTGAAGTCTGCTGCGTTGTTGCGCCGTTGCATCGCAGGGTAAGGTTTATATAGCCGCGCGCATGCGCGTATCTATGTGATGTGCCGATCGACTTCTGCAGATTGCAGCCAGATGCAACGCTAGGTGTGATTCCAGTATAGCGATTACGCTCCTTCCATAGCTTACTGGAGCGAGTTAGCAATTTACGTATATATGGGTATCTGCGAAGTATTGTAGCCGAGTGTTGCGTTGCGATGCAGATGCATACAAGCAGCAATCTTGTGCTAGGTCTATGTTGTCCATGATATGTTCATAGACAGGGAAGATTGTCGAATATTTAACTGGTCTGTAGCCCGTGCTGGCTTTTACTATTTGATTGAAACTATCTGCGTAACGGGTCTTTGTGGGAGTTGCTGTTTTGGCGATTGAGTGACATAAGTTCAAGTTGCACAAAGCATCTTCAATTTCACCCTTCAGCCTCTTATGCTCGGCTTCACAAATCATACCTTGACCCAGATAGCCCCCATCCAGAACACCTTAGCCACATTTGCCTGTTTGTTCAGCACAAAGCCACAGTCATCCTCAACCATTCAAAACCTCAAAAGAGACAGTCTGGGCCATCGAATCATACCTTTCCAAACATCAAGTACGACATGGACGCCAAAGCGCCCCATCTGTCACCCACGAACTTTTATTTTAGAGACGTCACTTGCGGTAGCAGCTCTGTGCACTCACATAGCGCGGCCTCAACAGTCTGCTCGCCCATAAAACCAAGACACCCGCTTGCTTCCACACGACTAGAGAAAGTATGGAGGGATATCGAAAAGTCCATTCATCCTTACAGGCACAGCGATATGCATGTTTCTAATGAGGCAAAATTTCACCCTGGTGATTTGGTTTTGGTCGATGTGGTTGCTCGGTCTGGCGCCCGTGAGTAGATTTGTCTTGCTTCTTGTACTGTTTTGAGAGCGGACAGATTGGATTTCTGAAGGCGGAGATTTGACTGACATTTGATTTGCGAGTAGAGCAGCAGGTCTGGGGCGAGGTTGTCCGATTCAAGCATGGCTGCTTCGTCGGGGAAAAGTATGAAATACGAGTAATTAAGAGGAATGTGCCCGGCATAGTGTAAGTGGCGTTTAGCACACCACATGATTGAACATGAATGCCTACCAGTACGGTTGAGTTATGGACTAATACGGGATGCCTTGCTTTCAGGTACGATCGGTCACCAGAGACTGGAGAATATAGCTACATTGAGCAGGACGCCTGGTTCAATGTATCGAAGAACACCTTCGAGACGATTCCAGACTGTGATGGGATCCGTCTGTGCAAGACTGATCCAGAGCATCGTCATGCATAACCAAAAGACAGAGGTGGAGAGTACAAGGTAAGTAAGCTAGATGTCTGGGTATAGAACTCGACTGAATTAGCTTGCCATATTTAGTCTGTTCAATGTGAAAGATTTGGTTTACATGATAGCGAAAGTGCCCACAAGTCTCGCGCTTCGTTGGCCATTTGCATAGCAGCTTTGAATAATCTGAAAGAACAGAAGAGTTGAAAGCGTCTGTATATATGTACGATAGACTCGGATGTCGGACTCAGGATACTTCGAAACCTGAATATCATAAATTCGATTCATGATCTGCTAACTACCACCGAATGCAATTTTCACAAATAGAGGTCCCCTCAAACATGGGAAGCGCATCTGGAAAATGCACACAACTCACGATATCTGAATTGGAGACGGGCTTCTGGGAAAGTTGAAGCTATTGGGAATTCGCGCCGCTTTTACTTCGTATTCATGTTCAATGTCCTAGTAGCACAAGGAAGAGTTTGAGATTCTAACGTATATCGTGTTGATGCTTGATCCTACTCATATGTTCGCTCCGCCTCATAGTGGCCTACACGCTTGTACGTTTCCCAGACAAGTTATTTTGCAGGCTTCGAGATACGCGACGATTACAACCCGACACTCGAATGCGGCGCTGAACTCGCAGATGCACAAGTAGAGTTGTGAAGCTGCACCACCTCAGATACAACTCCGCGTGACGATGTATGTTCTTCACACCGCCTGACCATGAATGGCAGCCGCTTCAAGAGGTTTCGACTGTTTTGTCTTACAGAGTTGGATCGATTGAGCCAATCCCACCTCTTGCTATTAGTATGAGGAACGAATAAAGGATTCTGCCAAGAGTGATTTGGTTATGCTTTGCAGCGTGAGGACCCCAGTCGCTCTTCGGTGTGGTGATGACAAATAGCACCTAATGTGCGGATAGATTCAACTGAAATCCGAGCAAACTGATTACAAAACATGGACGTGCGTAGATCCAAGCCAATGTAACTGTGCATGGGACTCGTGGCGAAAGATGTGCAATGCATCCTTTGGAAACTCTAAGAGCACTTGAGGGTTAGAAGTCATGGCATCATGCTTGGTCCATTTCGAAGGATCACAAGCATATTGAACTATAAAAGCTCAGGGAGTCCTGCATCACATCCATTTGGAAATCCAATAATTCACACTCCAACCATACGATACACTGCGATCACACCATCCAACAGTATTCACTATTCGTGCCAATAAACCTACTCAAAGCCTTTCTACTTGTCGACATCATGGGTTCCGAGAGTTTGAAGCCAATTGAAGTCTGGGGCAAGCGTGGCCCCAACCCACCCAAGATCATCAGTACGTATATTGCATTGTCTGTATTGCACAACGATGGTTGTCGAGTCGATACTAACTTTATAATACCATAAAGTGATACTGGAAGAGCTTGGTGTCCCATACAAGATCCACGACATCGGCTTCGACAAGATCAAGGAGCCAGAATACCTGAAAGTCAACCCGAACGGCCGCATTCCCGCCATCCAAGACCCCAACCGAAATGACATTGTG